GCTGGACCTTTGCGCTAACTAATAAGGTTATAGAACAGTTCGAGAACCCCTCCTCTACTGCCTCCGCAAATGCGATCAAGACCTCTACCGATCCTAGCAATAACAATAGGAAAAGAGGCGAGAATGAAAGGGATAAAAACCACCGCTGGGGGTAGAGATAACTATGGTGGAAGCAACCAGGTCAAGTAAAGCAGCCAGCCGTTGAGGAACAAAGCGACTTGTGTTGCAGGCTCTACAATCCAGTTGGATTCTATTTCTCCCATAACTATGACCTCTAGCCCAGATGGCCTGTATCCCAATCAGATCCTGCAACCCCAGAGACCGTTGCAGATCCAGCAAGAACCGGTGCCAGTTCCAGGTCAGATCGTTCGTATGGTCCAGCTCAATGGTCGAATGATTCCACACATCCAATGACAGCCTCGACCCCGTGCGGTTGCATCTTTCGAGCCGCTTAAAACACCAGCAGGTGACCCACTTGCTCCGTGGCTATACATTCCGGTCTTCGGCAAGGTCGTATGGTCAGCGATCCCATATTCCATCACAACAACCTGTTCACAAATACCAATTCTGCGCTTCTACCCACAGTCCCAAAGCTGAATGAGGGGACACTACCCACTAAATGACCAATATGAGTACTACGAGCATGCATATGACCCCTCGTCGCCCAAATTTGGCAAATTCGAAAGAGTGCGTTTTGCCTTCTCGCACTATCCACGATTATATGACGATGCTTTGGGCTATCGCGGCGCCATACTATTGTTAGCGTCCGCTTACATGACTCAGAAAGGTCAGCCCTTCTTTTCAAAAATATCCGATACACCCAGATCAAAAGTTGAGCATTATCTTGATTTCTGGACATGTCAAATATGGGATCCGTTCCAAGTTTCGGGACGAAATGGCCACCTTCTTGGAGGGTATGAGTGATGGCCACGCTACTGTCATTGGTATTACTCCCTTTGAAGGTGCTTGTTACTGGCTAAATTGCCTAAGCGCTGAAAGCCTCAATTACATCATGGAGCTACATTCGGATTATTATTGGCTCTCCTTGGCTACTAGGCTTGCACATAGGGGGTATTGGTAGGAACGCGATTCAATGGGCTTTTGCTATCAGATAGCCTCTTCTCAGTTCATGCACCAATATAAAGTTTTGGGTAGTCATAATGCCCCCGGTGTATTTCTAGGCTCCATGCGTTTTATGTGTAGTGAGATGTGGTTGGATCAGAAGCCATCAACTAGAAACGCTTATCGAAAGACATGACCGTTTCAAACTATTTCTCTCTGTAAATACTCATGTATTAATGAACGCGTCGCCAATATCCCGAAGTCATTTTATGCAGAGAGTGTAGTAGAAAAGGGTACCGCCGGCTGTTCTTCGTAGACAACCCACTAGCGTATCATTGGTTACGTACCAAAGTAAGTATAGTAGTAACTGCAAACCCAGGTGATCTAGTTGGTAGATCGCTAACGAGCCATATCCGCTCCAGACTGCTCTCTAGGCTACCTACGGG